AACCTCAACATTAATGAGCCCCAAAACTTTGTTGAACTATTAGAAAGGGCCGACAAACAAATACTAGAAGAAAGCACTCTCATACGGGAACCAGAAGGCCACCGGGCCTAGAAAAGAGATACCCCTGACGGCGAGTCAAAAAGGAGGGGAAGAACACAGGCCACCCATCCAATGCCATTTTGAAGAAGGATAGTACTCCTGAAACAATGGAGGAACGGTTCGGTACCACTAGCACAATGAACAGGTCAGCCGATACATTATTATGAGAGGCCAGCGCAACGCTACGAGCATCAATGGCAGAAATTGTGAGCGCCATCCAAGGTAAATAATACTTCAAGGAGCCCGCACCGATGAAAGTCGGAGGTTTTCTTCAAGACGAGAGAAAATACTACAAATATCATCGGAATCACGACCACGGCACGGAGGAATGTAGACTCCTCTGGAGTCTTATTGAGAAGTTAATCAAGACAGAAAATTTGAAAGAGTTTGTGGTTGCAGTACCCTCAAACCAGAGACAGAAGAAGATACCAACATCGGAGGCCCCACCTATGCCCACCTGAACAAATATTGTCGGGATAATATCATCAAGATTATTCTTGTTCTTCCTCCTTCCCATCTTTTGTACTCTTTACATAAAAAGTTTTGCACTAAATTTACTTTTCACTGTTAATGTCAAGCCTCCCACCTAGTGACATGTTAAAAATGCATACAAAACAAATGCATGCAACACTAATAGAAGATCCAAAACTTTCTAGATAGGAAAACGCTTGGGGAACAGAGGGAAAGGCAGGGATACAAGTCAGAAGTTTGGAGAAAAGAAGATTGACAGTCGTGTCGCCAAGATCGACCGACTGAGCGCTAAAAATAACACTTCCAGCCGCAATGTCAAGATCACTCAGTTAAGCACTAAAAAGAAGACTGTCAGTCGAGACGCCAAGATCGTCCGATTGAGCACTAAAATGAGGATTGTCAGTCACATCGTCAAGATCACCCGACTGAACACTAAGAAAAAAACTGCCAGCAGCGGCGGCAAAATCATCCGATTTAACACTTAAAGAAGATTGTCAACCGTAGCGGCAAGATCACCAGGCTGAGCACTAAGAAGAAGACTGTCAGCCAAGGCGCCAAGATCGTTAGGCTGAGTATAAAAGAAGACTGCTAGTCGCGTCGCCAAGATCGCCCGACTGAGCATTAAAAAAAGACTACTACCCATGGTGTCAAGATCGCCCGGCTGAGCAATAAAAGAAGGTTGTCAGTCGCGGTGCCAAGATTGCCGAGTTGAGCATTAAAAGAAGGCTATCAGCCATGATGCCCGGATCGCCTGACTGAGCACTAAAAAAAAACTATTGAGCCCTGCTCAAGAGGCTAACAGAACAAATTGTCCCCGAGAAACTCTCGAAACTAGAAAATAGGGTCGCAAACTCTTGAGGATTAGAATATTTGGGTTCGATCAGACCCGACCGAACGAATCGATCAACGTCGTCAGACTCCCTATACGAAGTTGTTCATTGAGGAGCTTCACTTGCTAGGGCTGGGATGGAAGTAGCGAAAAGACTCCTTGGTCCTCATAGTCGATATTCTCTCTTTCAATTCACGATTTTCTTTGGCAACAAGTAAGAATATTTCTGAAATTGATGAAAGCTCATCTGCCACTGCGGTAAGTTTTTTCTCTGCCGCATCAACCTGCATTTACACCTCTTTAGCCGATCTGACCAAGACTTCAGCTCGTTCCTTAGTCACAGCCCACTTAGTTTCGATAAACTCTAGAGCTACCAAATTAAGATAGAGGCCTCCCAGGCTTTCAAGTGGTATCGGTCGGCTTTCTTAAGTAGCTTGGGCCTCTCCATTTTCCATTGAGACTTCACGAACGCTGGTGACCAGATGACCTCCAAGTGCACGGAAGGGTAAGTTTTAGCTGAGGAAGAGCCTAAGTACCAATCAATCAATCGAGCAATAGTTGTGAATAGACCGTCAATAGAATTCTAAATTTTTGTCTCAAAAATATGAGAAGGAAAGCCCCTCATTCCCGGAAGTAGCAAAGGAAGCGGGAGAGTGGATTCGGCGGCTAGTTCTTTACCCTTGCAATGTTGAGTTTCACAGGTCCCCCTCACAAGGTCAGCTTGACTGAATCTCCCCCGGATAACCCAAACGATCCCTCAACTCCTCAACTGTCAAGAGGGGTTGCATCATAAGATAAATATTAGAACTAACTGGGATCCTAAATTTCCTAACAGCAAAGGTCACCTCCTTGGTCGAGATCTTCCAAACCACAAACAAGATGATAGAAATGTTAAGAATGAAATCCTTACCCACCAGGCCAACTTTTCCACCTGCTACCGTAACGAGCTTTTCCTTTGTCATCGTCACCATCCGTTGGTCCCCATCCACTCTGGCCTCAATCTTCGCCCTCCTCTTGACCAACCGAGTGGCTGGTTCTTTCAATCGTTGGGCCTTCATAGCATCAGAAGCAGCCCATAGCTCTGTCTTCATCTGACCAGACACTTCCAGAAATAGAACTCGCCCAAAGGTTGCTAGGGCGTTATACTGTGGGATCGAAAGCAATTGGCCCTCGATATCGACCCCGTAAACCTGAGGGAAGTCTGTACCCTTTCTCTTCCGAAAAGAGATGTCAGACGAGACCAAATTAATTCCCTAACCCTTAGCGTAAGAGGCAATAAAAAATTCACACTTCCAATCTATGACCTGATGGCCTAGACCGACAAATTGGACGCTCTTGGTTCACCCAAGTTAAACATAGCCATCTAATTCCGCCCGAAAATATTGCTACATGCATCGATGGACCATGGAACACTTCTCTAACGACAAAAGATGATATAAGTCACAATCGCCGTCATCAAATTCAGTTTGATTTGCATAGGAATGACCCCATATTGGTTGAAAACTAACTGAAGCTTGTGACACAATGACAAACCCATATCAGAAATGGTTTCGATATATCACCAAGTCATCATCGTATATATTAGTTGCAGTTTCATCTGGACGGGCAGCCCGCAGCTTAATGGTAGGATGAAAAACAAAAGTTTATTCAACAATGGTGTGTCCAACGACGACAGAACCGAACGTTCGGGAAAGGCCACCTGACCGAAAAGCTGAGGGGTCCTCTTTGGAGACAAATGAACGATGGGGTTTAAACGACAACAAACTAAAGACAAGGTAAATCTAAGAGCCAGAAATGGAAAGTCCGAGGGCAAGCCCCTAACTCCCGCGATATCCATTTAGAGGTATTCTACGGAAGATGAAGCGTCGCTCACAAGAACGTAAGCAAAAGTCTTATCGAGCACAAATATCCAGATTTACAAAAAATGAAATAAATGTTTTATTTATCTGAAAAACATGATTACATAAAGATTTAGTCTGACAAGAAATATTTCACCAATTGATCTTCAGCCGCCTAAACCCCTCCTAACTAACCTATGGCCACCAAGTTTAATTGATTTATTTGGTCGGCCTCAAAACTAACCTTCATGACAAATACGTCCTCGTGAAGCTCAGCAATCTCACGATGAAGAGCGATCATCTCCCAACACATTTCCTCTAGTCCAACTTGCAGATCTCGGCCCTAACGGGGTAGAATCGCCTCCAGCTCAGCTAGATGGTAAATTAAAGCCCTGGGAGAGGACCGATGGTCTTCCTTGATGTCAGGTCCCTTCTACATAACGAAGGTACGAACAACGAACCGAAATCCATGAGAGGAACAAATTTTGGATGATTGATCAGCCCCTAGCATTCCGTATAAAATGAACATTGACACAAAAGCCCAGGGAGATTATTTATAATGTTAATAAATTAATGTTGATATAAGATTCATTTTGCCTTCGTTTTATCTTTTTCTTCAAAAAAAAAATGACAGAGGAGGGTATAATGAAATTTTTCTTGTCCTTGTTGCAGTTATCACTATCAATGAGCAAGAAAAATTGAGAAACTTAATATGTACATCGAAATGTGTCAGCACGAATCGCAAAGACATCGCACAGACGATAAGAGGGGTGAAGCAACCTTGCAGGCCCTACCATCAACAGCTCAGGAATACCTCCCCAACCGAACATATCTTACGTCATAGGAGTGGAATGCCTCAAATGGGAAAACAAAGGATCACCTCAGTGTCAAGTCTGAAATCTCGAATGAGAACCTACTTTAAAAAATTAGTGTCTTATGATAATTGAAAGAATGAAAAATACAAAGGAATTGAAAGTATTTTATTGTACTGGCTATCAATTATCATAGTGACAAAGAAATCTATTGAAATTAGTGTGGAAGGAATTAGTGTCTTATGATAATTGATAGCTAAATAGTGACAAAGAAATTTCAAAAATTAGTATAAAGAGGGTGTTTGATATGTTGTAGAACAACTTCTATCTGAAATTAATCTATAGAAAGTAAATATGCAAAATTTTACCGCATTTAATCTCAGAATATTGATGAAGAAAGTGTCCCACGGAATAAAAAAAAATTATTTTCATTCACCACCAACAAATTACTTTATATCTGAGGTCATTATGTTCTCACTAAACCAAATAGCTTCGTAATCTTTTGTCAAAATCATTGGCTATACAGGACACTTGAAGAAAATGGTGGTGATGGTTCAAAAGACAAAATAACAACAGATTGTCACAATCCATTTCTAGGATAAGTCGATAAGTTTCAAAATGAATAAAATGGACTAAAATCATGTAATTTTTATCATTGATGTCAAGGAAAACTCACAATTTGTTGAATAAACTCTGAAGAGCATCCCTTAAATAGATGAATACTTTCAATATATGGCTTATATAAGCTTTCTGAAATCTGCAACAAAAGATCATTTTCAAAGATAAGAGCAAGAAATGTTATGCTATGCAAAGCAAGGAAATATTAGACAAAGCAGACAACTAATGAAGGAGTCGCATTGAGTAGAACTTCTTTTTAATAAAGATAAATGCAAGCTAAAAGCTTCTTAGACTGATTAATCATTCTTGAATCAGAGATGAAGCTTATTCATTCTTAAGCACATCTAATGTTTTCCAGATGAACATAATTTTTTCCTTCTATCAAAACATGCTAAAACAGTATCAACATTCCTCGATTTCAAATGCTAGAGAGAAAATTGTAGAATATAAGTAATGACCAAAACTAAAGGTGAAAAGAACGATATAAAAAATTTTAAAAATTGTTTATCTATTCAAAAACAGGTTGATTTTTTCAAGGGCAAAGGCGAGTCATCATCCTAAGAAATCCTTCACTTAATGGTACAAAAATATGAAAACTTTGTCATCCTCCCACCTTTGCTCTAATTGATACAGGAATATCCTCAAGGACGGTAGCTTCTGCATAGGTTCTTTCATATTGTAAGCGAACATGTCCTTTAATTTGGTCTCGGATGTCATTTTCAAGTTTGTTCCTATTCATAAATTTAATAAGTTCTTTCATTTTGTCTCTAAACCTTTCTGTCTTTGATCCTTTAACAATCAGTGCAGTCATGTTACCAATCAAGTAAGCTCCCAGAATCATGTCAAATGACATAAACATCATGACAAATACCATTTCTCTAGAGTTAACTGCATGTACATCTCCATAACCTGAAATGCAACACCCATTAATTTGATCATCTTACACGGCAACAATACTCAAAAGAAAGTATCACAACATAAATAGCAAATGAAAATAAACCTGAGAATGATTAACACTCAACAAATTTGTTCTACCTAATAAATAAACAAATTTAAACTTCTTTAAGAACTCAGAAGTTAAATGCTTAAAAAATAATCACGGCCAAACCCATTTATTTATGTTTATAAACAAACTTGTAATTTGTTCTTCAACAATTAACCTATAACATACTAAATATTAAGCTCAAAAACATTTAATATCTATATGATATATTATTTTAATAAAAATATAATTTAAAATTTATTTAATTATAAAAATTTACTAGTGATATATATAATTATTTAATATCAATAATATTTTCTGTATGTATGTATGTATGTATGTATGTATTTGTGTGTTAAAATAATTTATTTGATGTAAGTAATTATGCATATTAAATTAATGTATATATTTCTTATTTTCTTATTCTAATAAATAAATTTATCAAAAATAATTTATGTTATTTGATTATATGAATACTTGCCCGGAACTTATATATTACCTTATTTAATTGGTATTGTAAAGTAGTTTTATAATAATTGAAAATTTACTCAATTACTTCTTTATTAAAATTTATAAATTTATTCGTAAATAGTTTTATATAAAAAGTTAGATACTCGTTCAAATTTTTAACTAATTTATTAATTCATTGAATAATCTTTCAAAATAATATAATCAAGTCAAATACAATAATTAAAAGATTTAGACAACCCAACTATGAACATACATGTGAATGCAAAGCTCAAGCTAGAACCAAATATGAACAGCTTATAATATGACCAAGCCTAGTCCAATCCATGTCATACTAAGCTTGAACCCTTGATTACAGTCGTAATTATATTTAATCACCGTGTACCAATAAACACACTTGCAGGCCAAAATGATAACATCATTGCAAGAGCTAAAAATAATTCTGAGCTCAAAGAGTAACATGAATGTTGGAAACATACCTACAGTCGCCATGGTCACAATGGCGAAATACAAAGACGTCAAATAACGTCTCCAGAAATCAATTTCCCGAAAGTTCCGGTAGTTGTAGTCACCCAACTTCAAGCTCCCAATCCAGGTATAGCCTTCCTCGGACTGGGGTAGAGTGGTGGCAAGGTAGTAGAAGATGCAGGCAGCAATGTGCGTGCAGTAGAGCTCTACAACAATGAGCTTCACAATCCTCGTAAACAAGTAATTGATTCGAATGTCCTTCTCTATCTTCTGAAAGAATTCAGACTCTTTCCGTAACCGACACAAGCGAATCCAAATAATGTATCTCACCTCTTCTCTTCTACCACAGATCTACAATGACGACATTATGGTTGGGGTAAGATCAGTTTGATGTAGAAATGGGAAAAGGGGGGAGGTTTACGGACCTTATAGATAAGATCCCATGGAAGACAGCTGAGAAAATCGAGAATGAAGCCGGACCTCAAATAGCGGAGGGCGATGGAATTAGGGCTATAGACCATGCGGTAGGTATGGGGGTCGCGGTAGGCGACGAGAAACTGCACGATTATGTCGGCGAGGAAGAAAAACTGAGCGGCGAGGTTCAGGAAGAGAAGATTGCGGGGTAGTCCGCGGAAGAAGCCAAACTCCAAGGGGGTGGAGAAGTTCGAATAAATTGCCCACAACAAGATGAAGTGCGTCCAGAGTTCGTATAACCTGCAAGAACCACCATTTCATACCACGCAGCAACTTGCCCTCTGTTTCCCGGAAAATTTTTCTGTCCGGAGTAAGTGCGGGTCTCAAGCAGGAGCGCTATACCCAATATGCACGCAGTTTTCCAGTTTCTGCGTGCATATGATTCCAGTTATTTTAATTATTAAGAGGTTATTAGGGTAATAATTAAATAATATGTCAATAAACTCTTAATCACCTATTAATATATTTTGCAGTTCGGCACTCATCTTTTTTTCTCACTCAGAGTTTCGTGAGATTATTGAGGGTATATACTCAATAACAGCAACATAATCCTCCAATACCTTCCAAATAACTTTCATATGCACACAATTTTACGTCCGTATGACATACATAGATATTTTTTCTCAAGTTGGGTTCATGCAGACTTCTGAGAGGAGTTTTTAAAAGAGGGATAGTCGAATCTTAGGGACCGGCCGAAAAATATCTTTACATTTTTTAAAAACAGTCTTTATTTTTTTAACAGTTTTTATGTGTGGGACCCACACATACAAGTGACTTTGTGTTATTGGACTCCAAAAGTTCCTTTATGTCCAGAGACTCGACAGAAGATTTTTCCTCCCAAGACGAAAAAAGGTAGCATCTACATACATAACACCCAATGCTTATTGGCTTATATGCACTGAAAGTTTACCTTTTTACAATTATATCATCCAATTCTTCTCTATCACATTAAAAATTTCATTATCTTAACTTAAAAATAAATAAATAATACACATTTTCATGCATAGGTAATAAGTTGATAGATGTGTAAAAATTGTATTTTTGATGTTATATATGTAAATACATAGGAATTGAAGGATGTGCATGCAAATCTTCAAAAAAATATATATATGATTTACATATGTGCTAATGAATCCTTATTATTTTATTTCTAATAAATAATTTTTATTTATCCATATAAAAATATAGTTATTAAAATCATATCAAAATTATCAATATCATTAATTTATGCAAAATCAAATGAATATTTTCCTACATAAAAATTTTGATGTGATCTAAGCTCTAAATTGCTATAAAATTTAATGTAAAGATTGGTACATTAGACATATAAGTACATAAGAATATAGCGGTGTATACTTAAATACCCTAAAATGCTATTCATTCGGCACATTATTAGCCTATGGAAAAATAAAAATCGACGCAATTTATGTCTATGATCTACATATTTATATTTACTTATGTATCATCATAATAACTATATTATATAAATATACATGAATAAAAATATCACAAGAATGTTCATATTTTTAGATAATTCTTAAAAAAATGTCTTTTCTAATATGTTGAGAGTTGACCACTGTACACATGAATTGTGCAATGCAAGATTATACAGGCACTTGTTAGCTTATCAGTACCTACATAATCTAGGATAACTCGACCAACTTAAGAGTGTTTATTCTAGCACATGTCAGTTGTCGGAATATAAGATTTACACTACTCCAAACTAGCAACAACCCTCAAGCACCGAAATACTAACCTCCACACTTGAGTTTATTTTAGTAAACAAGCTATAAACTAGAATAAATATTTTATTTTTATATGAATTTAGGAACAAATGATTCTATAAATCTAAATAAACAAGCAATTGAATAAGTTTAAAGTTTGTATTTAACTAGTTTATACCAATTAAATAAAAAATATTATATAAGTTGAAAATAAACTTTATTGTAATCAAATAATAAGAATAAGTACGAAATAATTCATTTAAATAAAAATAAGAAAAATTATATTAAATTTAGATACATAATGACATTAAATTTAAATATTTTACTATTAAATATATAATTACACACGTTATAATTAATTAAATTTTATTTGAATAAATTTCTATATAATTATAGAGCATTTAATAGTTTATTTATTGAATAGCAAGTGAGCCTCTTCGTAAACATTAATAAATAAGTAGGATTATGTTCAAATTTTGTTCATTTAACTTTCAAGTTTTAAAAATGTTCAAACTTATTTATTTACTAATTTGAATAAACATGATTGAGTTAAAATAAAGCGAGTTTGAGCAATTCATCAAGAGTGGCAGTTCATTTACAATCTTGTTTAGTCTATAGAGACTCTATAAGAACCTATAGACTTATTCAATCCCAAAATCAGCCCTATTTCTGTAGGAATCATTTCCTAATGAATTTTACAACCCTGCCTTGGCACTCCCTGAGCATAGAGAGGCTTCGCCAAATCTATTTGACAAATTCAACTCATTAGAACCCTATGGGTTATATAAAACAAATCTAACTTTTGTACTTAAAAATTTGATTCATAACCTTATAGCTCATTAAAGAACCATACTAAAGTTAATCTTAGGGGCACCCTGACTAAATTGGTCGAGTAGAATATCATAAGACACTGTTGAAATTCAAATTAATTAGATTAGATTAAAAAATTAAACTTAGATAAGTATCATCTGATAATTGTCTTAGTTATTCAAATCAAAACTCAAATCAATCAAATTCAAATCGGGTCTTCTTTTGTAGTTTATCAAGACATGCATGATCCATTATGGAGATTGGGTTAAACTCACTTTGAACCACCTAAGTCTAACTCGAACAAAATTAAAAGGAATCTTTTTCAAGCTCAACTCAAGTAATCTAAACCTAAATTGAAACTATTAAAATATATACCAACCTAATTTGGCTTAAATGGGCTACTTGTAACTATTAAAATATATACGAACCTAATTTGGCTAAATGGGCTACTTGGCCCAATATGACATATTATGGGACTGTTGATTCCAAATTTTATCCAATTCAAAAATTATTCAAACCAAATTCAATGATGTTGAAAAAAATGGCTCACATAAAACAAAATCAATACAAACAAATGAATATGAAAGGTAATTGAACCTTAATTGTGTTAATGGGTCATGGAACAAACCATTGAATCAAATGAACCACACTAAGCCAAGATTATCCAAATATATACCAACTTAAATTCAAACTTGGGTACATAAGAGCTCAAGTCAAAATCTACTAAACCAAATAAAAATTGAACCAATTAATCCTCACCTAGTTTGATAGACCTACATAACTCATTATGGACCCAATTAAGTTATATTGAATTAAATCAATTCATTTAATCTCAAATCAAAGTCAAAATTGGTAGGATATTAATTATTTAAATCCCTAGACTTAAAATTTTTCAAAATTCATACCCCTAGTTGTTCATAATAGAGAATGCCTACGAGAATTAGGTTTGCCTATTTTGGTGTAATTTTTTTTTATATAAATTTTAAATATAAATCAATTATAAAATTCATAAAAAATAGATTAAACTTCTAAACCACACAAAAAAGTTTAAAGAGAAGTTGGAATAACACCCCAAGGCTCTTTGTAAAGTTCCATTAGTTTTCAAAATAATTTATTATTTAAATAATATTAGGAGTCAAAAATACCCTAAAGATTTTAAGAAAAATAAAATAACTTAAAAATAACTCAAAATTTAATGGAGTGTTTCTTTGGGGGTTCCTATTCTTATAATTATTTGAATTTATTTTAATGGCATTTTTTATGTGTTTTCTTTATAGATATTAATAAATAGTTAAACATATTAATAAATAAATAAATAAATCATCAAAGCTCCAAAAAATATTTTTGATGTATCCATAACCTCAAAAAATAACAACATAAAATTTAAGATTAAATAAAATTTTTAAATCAATTATTAAACCAAAGTGAATTTATTTAATTAAAAAATATATAATTAAGTCTTACAACTTCAATAGAAAAAAAAAGAAATTAATTATTGTTTGAAAACTTTCTAAAATTTAAATATAAGGTCTCTATAATAAAAATAACTTATGAAAGTTTGAGCTATATTATTTTTAATATTGAAAAAGTCTCTACAATTTAATATTCAAACCATTTATATAAATTTATATAATTCATGAAATAATAAATATTAATTTCAAAATAACTTCAATTTTTTATTGAGGCTTAGTCAAGCTTTCTCTTTAAAAATTTGACTAAGTTTTTAATACATTTAAATTTTAAATAATTTGTATATGTGAAGATAAGAAAAAATAATTTTTAAATTAAGGTAAAATTAATTCAGATTTTTCTAAAGTGCTTCTCAAGTGGATCATAACCTTAGAAAAAAAATTATAATTTTAGAATTGATTTTAGTATTAATTTGACATTTTTTTGAAATTTAATTAAAAATACTAAAAATAACAAATATATTACAAATTCAGTAATTTTATTGGACTCCTCGTGGCGAGCAACGAGCACAAACATTACGTCCGGAGTCCAATAAAATCACGCCACATGGAGGTGACAAAAAAATAAAAAAAGAATTTGTTTTAGCACAAGGGAATATTCCCCCAATGTTATTCCGCGTTAGTCAGGTGTTATTGTGGTGGTATTCATATATTATTGTATTATGAGAATATTCCGGATGTTATAATAACACAATATCAACTCAATATCATCACAATAACACCTGAATGATGCAGAATAAAACCTCGTAATTTGTAGTGTTTTTGAAAATCAACCAAAATGAATTTCAAATACATCATAATTTTACACAATATTAATTTTCATTCAATTAAAGGTCAAAAATAAAATAAAGAATTATTTGATTTAATTTATACTAGAAAGAATCAACCAAAAGTACTTTTATTTTCAATAATTATCTCCTTGAATTTGAACGGGTGAACTCCCCGAATGTCAAATAAATTTCTTCATGATAACCCGAGAAAATGACCATTTGTTTGACTTGATATTTCCAAGTCAAATAATTGCAAAATATACGTCAATATGCGAAGAAAAAACAAATGACGGCTTAATTAATCAAATAAATAAATAAATAAATAACCTGTTTTTTTTTCTTCTAGATAAGGTCAAATTTAGTGTTTCAAAAAAAAGAGAATATTATATAAGTGGAGCTTAAAGTATTGAATTTATTTTTTTTAAAAAAAGCATAATATAAATAAACTATTTTTTTATATATTATGCTATCAAAATATAAATCTAATGACTATATAATTTTAATTTAATGCACAATGAAATTTGATAGAATTTTTTGGCCCAAATTTTCACACCATAAGTTGACGTTCTATTTCGAACATTTTTTTTAGTAACATAAAATCAAATGCTAATTGGACATTGATACGTCATCAATAGATTTTCATCATTCAATACGGACCTAGAGACGTAGTATGAATATCGAGATAATTTTTTTAAATGATGAATGTTTAAATTTAATTAAAAATTATTTTAGCATAGTAACAGTCCAATTGACCGGCTCCATGAGATGAGATGAATGCAATAAAAATAATATTGACGCAATCTGAGTCAAATCAATCAAGCCCAGATAGAGTTGCTAAACAATTTTTGGAAGCTTGTACAGCTCAATTGCAAGGTCAAACAAATTCTAAATCTGACAAGCTTATAATCAAATCGAGTGTCTTACTCAATTCCAACACTGTTAAGGCACTCAAAAATCTGGAGAATGTCTTTTGATCATTGGAATCTCTCTAGGTCGTCTGATGGAGTGATCTGAATTCTTTCTTTTTTTGCAAGGAGACCTCTCCCATGATCTATAAATAGACCATGAACCAGGGAAGTCTGAAGCTTAGAGAGAAGAAACTAAGGTCCAGTTTTCTACACCAAATGTACAACAAACACCATCCACTCCTACAGCCGCCAACCACCACTCGTCAGTTGTCGTCAACCATCGTCGATCTCCCCAGAATCATTGCAACAAAGCACCCTGATTGACCAAGGTAGTAGAAACAACGGAGTATACAGTGGGCCAACACATCCCACAAATGGTGTAACAGTGCCCCAAAAATGGTGCGATCACATCCTACATATAGAATAATAATACATCATGAATACAATGCAATGAAATACCTTACATATGACGCTAGAAATCCTCCAAAAGGTGTAATAATATGCCCTGTAATAACTACTTATAATTATCATACTCAAGATATGGTGACTTTTTATAGATTTTTTAAGCTCTCTCCATGTAGTCCGCCATTATGGCCTACTTGATCAATTATGACCTACATGGTCCACAACTCATGTAGCTCACAACAACGACATTTGAGGCTTATGAACATTATCATACCTCATGCAGCTCCCAACTCCAGCCTGATCACAGTTGATGTAGTTTCCAACTCTGACCTCTGCTACCTACAGATGTTATCTCAACTCATGCAACTTCCAAATCTAGCCTCTATAGCCTTAGAACGTTATCTCAGCCCATATAAATCCAAACTCCAGCTTATGAGGCCTACAAACGTTATCTTAGCTCATGTAGAACCTAACATTAATCAATGTGGGTTATGAACGTTATCTCAGCTCATGCAGCACCCAACCCCAACATTTGCAGCTTACAAACGCTATCTCAATTCATGCAACTCTCAACTTCAATATCTGCGGCCTATGGATAATAATTTATATAACAAGCAGCTTCAATCTCTACAACCTACAGATGTTATTACAACTTATACAGCATCCAACTCCGGCTTTTGCGGCCTAAGGATGTTATCATAACTCGTGCAGCTCCAACTTTGGCTTCTACAGCCTAAGAACATTATCACAACTCATGTAGCTCCCAATTCCGACCTCAACGTCCTACGAACGTTATTACAACTCTCACCACAACCTATGCGGCTCACAAATCACACATCTTCAAACTTTGACATCTGCATCCTATGGATATTATTGTAGCTCCTTACTATTGTCTTTGTGGCCAACCGACACTCCTAAAGCAACCATTTACGACCCACATGGTCAACTACTACCAGAATTTCAACTGTGGCCTTTACGAGAAGATGTTGTTACCACCACCGTCTACAACAATAATGTTGAACTAGTGCTTCCATGATAATCTATTATGACTACACAGCTTCTTACAGTTACTATTACTAAAATATCATCGCACATCAACCTTATAATTCTATCTTTACAAATCAGGAGAAGAGTAAGTTTGTATACTCATCATTACATTGTTAATTATTTCAATTTGGCTAGGTCCTATGATGTTTTCCTCTTTAAAAAGGTTTTCTACGTGAGAACATTTGGTGTATCAACATATCACTTTAGTTACATGATTTTCATACAACATTAAAATGCCAAATTTATTATTGTACCTCTGCAAATCTTCCGACATGCATTAGACATAAATCCCTCACATATTTATATTTGGTTATTGACAATGATTTTTATAAAAAAAAAATGGGACAATTTTTTAATCACACTTCGTTCAAAGTTTTATTGTATATCAATCTCAAAATAATATACGGAATTTTAAAAGAGATTGTTGATCAAATTTTAATCATAATTTTCTCGCCGCCTTAGTGTTTGTTTAGAATTTTTTGGCCAGCTTATTAAAAAACGTTGTTTAGGGATTAGAAAGAATTTCGCCTGCGGCATTACCCCCGCGGGCAGCGTATCTTCACTGCGTTTAATCTTAATTTGCATTGCTACCCTTTCATAGCAATCGCAAATTACCGCTTTGTGGAAGAGCCCCTAGCTCGCGATTCCTAGCCGCTTATGCTCCCTCCCCTTCGCTCGCAATCCCTAGCTGCCGCTCCTGCCGTCCCGCGTTGCCCCCCCTCATAGCCGCAACCCCTAGCCGCTCCTGGAGTCGCTCCTTCCCTTCCCTTTTGCATTCCTAACCAGCGCTTCTCTCCCTGCTTCTACGACATTCTAACGCTCGCTCCTGCTCTTCACGTAGATCCTCTCCCTGCTTCTTCGACATTAATCGCAGGCGGCCGCCAGCTCTTCCATTTGCCATTCATCTCGTTCCAGGTAAATCCATTCTCCCCTCTCATCAACTATTGCTCTTGTTGTTTTTACCATGATATGGGCCTCACGATCCCCTGTGAGGAAGTCGTCTTCCGTTCCCTGACTTCCATGTTGAGCTAACGAGCGGAAAAAGTCTTGGGTTTTCTTCTGTCTCCGTGATGCTATTCTGCGGAGGGGAGAAGACTGCTTCATGATTTCTTCTCTGTTTTCCCCTGTTTCGGATATATTATTGTTTTATTTTTCTATTTTTTAAATGATTTGTGGACGGTTTTTAACTAATTAGCTGAGGAGATTGATTCTGGGTTGGATTTGTAAATTGCAAGTGTCATGTGGTTTTTGCGCCCTGTGAGATCATTCTCCTCTTGTTATTTCTCAGTTTTCTATCTCTCTCTGCTTTGAGCTTTGTTTTCTTTTAGGTGATAAGGTTGTGAATTTGTGAAGACTTGTAAGGGAGTAATTTGTTTTCATTAATATTGAATATTGGTTAAAATTATATTGATGTAAAACTATTTTTATGTAATTACACTTTCATCCATTTAATGATGCTTTCAGTTTCTTAATTATTTGATTATGGCCAACTTCAGTCCTCATTTTTTATTTTTCAGCTCTGTTTGCTTGCAGTAGCTGGCAAATTTAAAACTGTTACTATCATGTAGCAACTATTGCTCTTGTTGTTTTTACTCTTCTTCCACTGTGGGATGAGTCTTAGGAATTAGGAATTTGGATTAGGAATAGGTCTTGTATCTGCCTTTTGAATTTGATTTATTAAATTTGGGTTTTTATGTAAATCATTTTTTTTGTATTATCAATTTAAAACATATACTACTCACAATTCATAATTTGGTTGAGACATGCTATGACATGCTTATAAAGTTCATGATTTATGTGAATCAAAATAATAATGCAAAACAGCTTCATGATTTACTTGTACGATTAGTTAAAAGTTTCATTTGCAATTTTTTTTTTTTGGAAGTTAAGGTATGTTAATTCCTTTAATTATTGGGCTGATGTGTTCTCTCCTGAATAATAGTAATGAGTAAACCAAAAGAGACCGGATCATCTATCATGTGGGATAGATAGTCCACTATTATATTTTGTGATCTCTGTCTGATGGAGGTTGAGTAGGGAAATAGGCCCACCACCTATTTTAATAAAGAAGGGTAGCATAATCTTATTACTAAATTCAAGGAACTGACTGGAACGGATTCCGATCGGATGAAACTCAAAAACAAGTGGGATCAATTAAAAAAAGATTGAAAAATATAGAAAGAACTCAAAAGAGGATCAACCGGATTGGATTGGGATCCAGTGAAGCGGACAAATGATTCACTAAAGGATTGGTGGGCTAAGAAATTAGAGGTAAATACATACCTAAGATTACTTCTTCTTGCATAAATGTTCACAATGAAATGTTTTCACTAAAAAAATGTTGTAATCTATAACAGGCAGTGCCCGCAGCCAAAAAATTCAAATGTAGTGGCATTGATCCAATTTTGGAGGAGAAGTTGGATGTCATGTTCACTGGGGTTGTCGCAACGGGAGCTCATGCTTTCACCCCAAATGAACAGGGGTTTGCTGACTTACCACAGGAAATGGAAACCGAGCATATAGCTGAGTCAGGAGAAGATCCCAACCACATAAACACTGATGTTCAAGACATTAGAGGGAGAAAGCGTCCCCAGATCGACAAAAATAAAAAGGAGCTGCATTTGTCAGAAGTACCATAGATAAACTGCTTGAATCCTGTAAAGCTAGGTTTGAACCATCACAGGATAGCGCAATTAAGGAATGTCTTCAGCTTCTAAATACATATCCCGGTGTTAAGGGCGACCAAGAGATTTATGTGAAGTATGTGAAGTTGCTAGGAGACCCAACTCGCAGACAGTTTTTTACGAAGTTGGACCCAGAATTCCGACTCGCTTACTTGCGCTCTTACATGAATGATTGACTGCTTATGTTGTTTTATTTTACTATCGAACATTGTAATGTTTATGTTATGAACTCTTTACTGTTTTTTCATGGGGACACAATCATATGTCTTTTATTCTATTATGTAGTGTTTTTTACATCAACTATCATATCTTAACTATTTTATTCTTTACTGTTTTTTCATGTTTTATTCTACGACGAACCGCTTCAATTTTTATGTTTTTATGAATAGGGTTTCCTGCTTTTCCCGATATTCTAGCATGTTTAAATATTTATCATTTTTAAGATATTGCAGAATGGATGAAGAACAAGTTAACCACAACTGTGAAGCCGCTCTCATTCTTACTTTGTTATACCATTACTGTCATACATATTTCGATCAAACCCCTTGTATGACGTCGAGTCATATTGGGGATAGATGGGTGGGTGAGTTATTACGGAGCCACCCTACATGGTTTGCCAACATGTTCCGTATGACGAAGAAGATATTTCTCGACCTGCTTGATGAACTTCGAAACCTTCATGGGTTGCACGGCTCAAGAAGAACTACAACAAGAGAGGTGTTGGCAATTACCCTCTACATTTTATCCCAGAATGAATCCATTAGAGGTGTTATGAAGCGATTTCAACATTCCTCAGAAACCATCAGCAGATATTTTTCAATAGGTTTGAATGCTCTTGTGAGTTTGGCATGCAAGATAATTAAGTCTGAGGATATAACATTCCAGTCCATTTCCACCATATTGCAAATGACCCACGATACATGCCGTTCTTCAAGATATTTCTTTAACATAAATTTCATATACAAAAGTAATATACATGTAATATGTTAATGGAGAATTTATTGAACAACAGAACTGTATTGGAGATATTGACGGAACACATGTTGATGCACGACTATCTGCTACAGAGAAGGTGGCCTACATCGGACGCTGTGACTCCCCTACACAAAATGTGATGGTCGTGTGTGATTTCAATATGTGTTTTACATTTGTGGTGGTTGGAGGGGAAGAGAGCGCACTGATAGTCATGTCTTCCACTTTGCTACTAGAAATCGAAGACATGGTTTCCCACACCCACCTCCAGTTACATATCTACAGTAACTATGTTTCATTTCTTTTTTCCATTGCTAACTACCATAACTAAATAGGTAAGTACTACTTGGTCAACGTCGAATATCCCTTACAAAGAGGATATCTCAAGCCTTATCCAGATACGAAATATCATATCCCTGATTTTGAAAGATCCAGCGGGGTAGCATGAGGAAAGAAGGAATTATTTAACAAAAGACATTCTTCCTTATGCGGCATGATCGAAAGAGCCTTCGGAGTCTGGAAGAAAAAGTGGATTATATTACGTAAAATGTCGACTTACCCATTTCCGAAATAGGTGCAGATAGTAGTGGCCACTATGACACTACACAACTTCATTCGACGACATCACTCTGGATCGGATGCAGAATTTACCTTGGTAGAGGATGATTTACTGCAGATCCCACCTGAAGCATTCGAATTTCATGTGGGATGCACCATACCACAGCTTGAAATGGATGCACACACTCGAGATGGTGAAGGTGCATCAGAGATTGCAGCTTTGAGAGAGTGAATAGCGGACGACATTAGTCAATCTTGAATGAACATGTCATGTTTCTTCGATTTGGAATGTAATGGATAATGTTGGATCGATTCTCTTTCAGGCTTCACCATGTGTTGCTTGAAAATTTCTATTTTTTGCTTGCAAGATTTTGTATTTTGTGATATTTTCTTCAACATCAGTATTATTATCATGATGAATATTGTTATTATATAAGCTTGATATGATGGAATTTCCTCAGAATTCTTGAAAGTTTAACCATTTTAAATCATTTGGAGAGTCTGTAAGGTAATGCTTTTTAGCTCCTTTATCTTTCAGGAAAAAAAAATAAGGTAATCATTTGGATGGATATCTACATGGATGGGGCCAACCGATTTTGTGCATTTCTTTTCAGCAAGATAGTTTTGTGTTATTGTTATATAATCATAATATGCATTAGCATTTGTAACCATATAAAATTTAAATGATAAAGCTTACGCTCTACATAATGAAGCTTGTGCTTCATTCTATAATTTAGATTTGTTTCTGCAGGTGTAGAAACAGAAGGCAGATCAATATCTGGCGGATTCTGGTGAAATCACTGTAAGGAGTAGTATAGTGATGGTGTGATGTTTCTTTCATGTAGCTGGAAAATTATAGCTTTAAATTTATATATATTTTCATATATAACACCTAAATTCTTATAATGTTTTTGGATAAAATTTCATTAATAATGCTCTGTACAATTTCATGTCTCTTAGGTTCATCCGGTAGTGAGTTGGGATTGGATGTAACTGAGATCTTTAACCAGCTTAAATGTAAATTTAAACATTGAAAGATTTGCATACATGCAACACAATTTATATATATTTTCATATATAACACCTAAATTTTTATTTCTATAATCATGCAACCTTATCGAAGCTTGGAAGATCTTGCTTTGATGATTTCTTGCCCAATTATGTTAGTAATCTTTCTAATCTGCGTCAAACTTATTTTTTTAATTTTTTAGAAAATTTTGTCTTTGTAATGCTTAGGTGTTAAAAATGAAAATATATCAAAATTGAATTGGATATGTTTTTTATTAATTTTTTTTTGAAATTGTATGTTTTGTTATTAAAAATTTTCTAATTATCTGTCATCAAAATGCACAAACAAAACAACTAAACAGTTTATCCAAAATAGGGGCAGTATGGTCATTTATCAAGAATTAGCTGTTTTCCAAATGTACAAACTAAACAGTCAGACAGCTTATCTGGATCAACAGCAGATCAACAGTTTATCCGGATCAGCAGCAGATCAGCAGCTTATCAGGATCAGTAGCTTATCTGGATAAGCTGGATAAGCCGCAACTGCCTCAAACAGACCCTTAATCACAACATCATTAAGAAATTCAAAATCATCCAATGAACAACACATAATAACCATACACCACCTATAATCTAACAAACA